CATAGCTAAAATCGGTAAATTTTCACATTTAGCCCGTGTACACACTCGTTAACTTACGTACCTTTCACATTTCACAATTAATACAAACCAACACCAATCCTATAGGGTAAACTCCCCCCCCCCCCACAAAATTAGGCAAGATACTTACCTCAAAACACGCTAACTCAATCCACTAGTAAGCCTTTCCCTCGATTATCTGTCACGCCTCAAACCTGGGGAGACGTGGCAGGCACTCGTTGACGTGCTGGCCCGAGCGAACCACTCTGTAACTCATGATCGTTCGACCAAATCTAGAACATACATAGGTCGAGTTAGCTGGACTCATTCCTTTGTAACTATCATGGGCCCACATGGCCACAACTCATAATGTACAACTGTAAGTGAGAAAATACTGTATCACTGAACCATTATTCTTAAAATATGAATATATATGGGCCGTCAAGGCCTCTGACATACTGTACAAAATAACCTCTGTCTACAAAGCCTCTAAGATTATTTGAAATCAAATGGGACAGGGTACCGGCCTACTCATAAGTCTGTAGCAAAACTCTGACACGCTGACTCATAGACTCGGCTGCACTCCGATGAGGTGGAGTCTTACTGATCCTTCGTTGAATGCCAATCTCGTCTACTGTGAGGGCTCGTCAAACTGATTATCTATACCTGCGGGCATAAATGCAGCGTCCCCAATAAAAGGACGTCACTACGAATAATGTACTGAGTATGTAAGGCAGAACTAAAACATAACAATAAGTCAATATTAATTAAAGACATAAGAATCAACCTGAATCTCTGAAGTGTCACCGTATATGCATACTTATTATACTTATATATATAATGTTTCTCTTTTAAACTATTTCTATTATCCATATCGTATGATGCATGACTGCCCAACTGATCAGTGGTAACTGCCAGACCGGCCGTCGCACGATGGTAAATGTATGACTGCCAACCGATGGTAACTGCCCGACTGGCCGTAGCCCGGTGATAAATGCATGTCTGCCCAATCGGCCGTAGCACGGTGGTAAATGAAGATGCATGACTGCCCAACCGGCCGTAACACAGTGGTAAATGTATAACTACCCAACCGGCCGTAGCTCGATGGTAAATGCATGACTGCCCGACCGGCCGTAGCTCAGTGATAAATGTATAACTGCCCAACTAGCCGTAGCTCGATGGTAAATGCATGACTTCCTAACCGGCCGTAGCACGATGATAAATGCATGAAGATGCATGTATCACTATATTATAAACATTAACATCTTTATCATATTCTTCAATAGAGACTTAGGAACATACTTGGACATGCCTGAATATCATAATACATGAATGAATAACATAGACATCCTTAACTGCTAAGAGTAGAACCACTTATGGATTAGCATTTCGTTTACGTATCGTTGGTTGGATCATGCCAAAAGAAAGAAGGGATAGCCTTAACATACCTGAACCGATTCTCTTGACAATCTCTCTAACACATGTCTTTTGCGAAGAACACGTAACAGCGGATCGAAGTAGGAAAAAATCTGTATGATATTCTTGAGAAAGATTGCACCGTACTCCTTAGAATCGCAAAATCCCGTTGCTATTATGCTAAGAAGTCTCATATGAATTCTTGTTGAAGATCGTTACTTAGAGATGGGATGTAAGCATCTCTATTTTGTGTAGTTGATCATAATCTTGTGTGATATGCTTCCTAAAATGAATGAATGAATTAGAAATGTTCCTTATTAAAGTGGTGTGGGCCCCACTTGATAAGAATGAGCTTTTTTGGCCAATTCTCCTAATTATGCCACATTGTTTCATGATTTAAGAGTCACCAAATAGGGCTTGATTTATTGCCACGCTAAGGCTTATCCAAAGCCTTAATTAATCCCCACCAATTCCTTGATTAATTAGTTAATTTCCCATTAACCAATAATTAACCAATTATTCACATAATTAAAAATTATCTCAAATTACTTAAAATACTACTCACTTTTAAGACACTTTATACACCTTACTATCATGGTCACGTGGCACCTTGTATGGTACTAGTCCGTAAATACCGGCTATTATAGCTCGAACCGTATTTTATCCCAAAATGTCAAACTTCGACGAAATTCATTTCCTTCGATTCTCTTACCCTCTCACCTTCACGAATTTACTTATCACTTGTTATAAATATCATAAGCACTTATAACCTCAAAAATAGTCTTGTCATTGGACTTATGTCAATTATCTTATGACAAATCCAACGTAGAAAATTACGGGATATAACATTATCCAACCATATTGCATGAGGTTTATGGGATACTATGAACCTTTGACTAACACTCAGTAGGATGAGCCTTGAGATTGCTAATACCACACACTGAGTGTAATTCAAATGATTAAGTATACCATAGTGAATTGTGCCTGCAAAAAAGGAAGCAAAGTTATTGAAAAACAATTTTTGTAGTGGTGGCTATATCGTGCATTTTTCTTTGGATTCTGTAATAGGTGTTTAAAAATAAGGGAATAGGGAGTCTGGAATAAGGAAATGGTCTCTACTACATTTGTAGTTAAGCTTAGAGGACTAGGAGGGATGAGGGTGAAATGAAGGATGTGTGTTATTGTTGGAGTAGTGTACTGGTGGCTGTAGGTGTGGTAGGTTAAAATATATGGGTTGGGTGCTATTGGGTTTGAGAGTATTAAATTACAACACTTCTTATAACATTGGATTATTAGAAGTGTGCTTAGAGAACCTACACAAAAGAACAAACATGTAAGTGAAAAGCTGGACTGAGGGTCCATTTCCAAAAGTGTTGGATTTTGGTCTTTCATGGATTTGGATATATGGGTACTTTAGAGATACTATTTTAAGAATCATGTTTTAGCCATAACCATGAGAAGAAGTAGAAGCAAGGTGAGGTGGTGGAATAATTCTGTGTGTTTTCTTGTGCCTAAAAACAGGGGTATTCTGGAAGTCCAATTGAATTTGACTCCTGATATGAGTAGGCAATGTGTTGACACTGGAGAAGTGAGTTAATGCAGGCAATTCATGGCTAAGCTTGGACAAAGAGTCTACAGGATAGTTGGCTTCTCTGTATACATGTGAGTACTGAACTTCCTTACATTGAAGACAAAGGTTTCTCAGCTTTTGCAGATTCATTTTTAAGGATCAGGGAGGATCAGAGTTGGTTGTTAGCCAATTGATCAACTAAGCTGAGTCTGTTTCAAGGTGAATTTTATTGTACCCATTGGTAGTACACCACTGGATACCAATGAAAGCAGCTTCTGTTTCTGCAAGGTTGTTGGTACCTTCACCCAAAGGACAAACAATTGCTTGAAGAAACTCCCCTAAGTGATTTCTAATGATATCCTCACCAGCAATCTTTCCTGGATTAGTTAGTGCACTACTATCAGAGTTGACTTTAACAAAATTGGCATCTGGTTTAATCCAAACAACCAATTGAGTGGTAGTGCAATGCTTGATATACTCAATGATAGAGTAAAGATCCATTCATCTTTGAGGCCATCTCATAGCAGGGTAAGTTGCATGAAGCAGCAAGTGAATGTCAGAGTTAATGGAAAAATGGACTCCAGTTATAGAAGACTTCTTTCCTCCATACTTTGCAGAGCATCTATTCTTCCACAAATTCCAACAAATGATGATAGGAACTGTATCCAGGATTAACTTCCGAACCTCATTGTTTCTTTTCTGTAACCACCAGTTCATATGAAGCAGTCTTAGTGGCATATTTTCAGTTTTGATTCCAGCTGGCCCTCCATATTTCTTCCAGACAAATGTTGCAAAGTAGACTCTACTGAAAATGTCATCAACTGTTTCAGCTTCAGGTCTGATACAACAGACACATCTAGTAACAGTGCGGTTACCAAATGATATTACTTTGACATCTATTGGCAACTTGTTTCTGAGGGCCCTCCACAAGCAAAACGACCACTTGAATGGGATCCTTTTGTGCCGGGTCATTTGTTGGTGAAGTTGGGTTGCTTCTTATTCCTTATCACTTCCCATGCAGAAGCACATATGAACTGCCCTATCACTGTGGGTGTTCAAATAGGTTGATCTTGTGACTGTCGCATATAGTGGATGGGAATTTTCATGATGACATGAATCATCTGAGCTGGAGCGTTTCTGTTCAACTTTTGAAGGTTCCACTGTCCATTTTCCTAGAGACGGGCAACTACAATTTTACCTAGTCTACCCATTCGCTTATGTAATTAGCAAGTGCACTGTACCCAACCAGTTATCCCACCAAAAACTACAATTTCCAGAGTGCAGCCTCCATTGAATATATTTCTCTACTTCTTTTTTGTTGGTCATCATCTTCTTCCAAGCTTGTGATTGTCCTGTGTCACATTTCTTAGAAATTAGATGTGATCTTTGACAGTATTTAGCTCTAAGAAAGTTGCTCCAGAGAGAAGACTTAGTTCTAAATGTCCACCACTGTTTGAATCTCATTAATTGACAGACATCTTCCATTGTTCTAAAACCAATTCCTCCTTCAATCATAGGAAATGATAGCCTATGCCAAGATGACTAGTGGTATTTGTTCCTGTCTTTTTCCATGCCCCAGAAAAAATTAGCAGCCAGTTTTTCAATCTGCTTCAAGATAGTTTTGGGAGGGGAGAGTGCTGAAAGAAGATGAAGGGGCATAGACTGTAGTACATGTTTAATCAATTTGGCTTTTCCTCCATATGAGAGGACTCTGCCTTGCCATCCTTTGATCCTACCTACAACTTTGGCTACAATGGAATTGAAGTACACAATTCTCATTCTGCCAGTGTAGAGAGGGTAACCTAGATAGGTAATTGGAGACTCTTTCTTGCTGAAACATGTTACTTGTTGAATTCTTCTAACAGTAGAATTGAAAGCAGATGGAGAGGTCATGAAGTGACTCTTTTGTTTATTGATCATTGGCTAGATGTTTCCTCATATTTATTGAGGATGTGCATGATTTTCTTTAGAGAACTCTTGGTTGCAGATGTGAAGATGATGATATCATCAACAAAGCTCAAATGATTGATCTGTGGACCTCTGTTCTCCATATAGAAACCATTGAAAACTGATCATGGGACAGGTTGTTGAGCATTCTTGATAGTAATTCAGCTCCAATGATAAACAAAGAGGGGGCCACTGGGTCACCTTGTCTCAATCCCCTAGTAGAGTGAAAGAATCCATTAAAATCCATCCTTCTCAGCATTATGCATGTAAATCCCCAGGAAACTCTATCATAAGCTTTGGCCGTGTCAAACTTGATGACCACATTAGAGCCAATGTTAGGTTTTTTAATTCCTTGAACAATTTCCTGTGCCAACATTATGTTTTCAGATATGCTTCTTCCTTTCACAAAGCCAGACTGATTTGCAAAAATTATTGCGGGAAGGATATGAGCCAGTCTAGAACCAATAACTTTGGATATGATCTTGTTCAAGAAGTTGCTGAGGCTAAATGGTCAGTATTCTGCAAAGGAGTTAGGAAATTTCACTTTTGGTAGAAGGACTAAGCAAGTACTGGTCATGAACTTTGGCATAGTATCACCTCCGAAGAAGTCCAGAACCACATTCACCAAGTCAGCTTTTATAATGTGCCAGCATGATTAGAAGAACTTTCCATTCATTCCATCAGGTCCTACAGCACTTGGTGGACTCATTGAGAAGATCACTTCTTTGTGTTCTACCAAGGTAGGATCTTTAGTAAGGAGCTCATTGTCCTCTAGTGTGATTAAGGATGAGATACAGGATAACAGGTCTTCTCTGATAGCACCTCCTGTTTCAGTGAAGATGTTCTGAAAATATGTGCATGCTGCTTCACCAGTAGCATCTCCTGAACCCATTCTCCTTCATCATCTTTAATTTTATATATGAACAACTTCCTTCTTCTCCATCTAATTAGGCTGTGAAAATATCGGGAATTGGCATCTCCTTTTTTAAACCATTGAAGCTGTGTTTTTTGCTTTAGGATGGACTCTTCTAGTTTCATATATCTCAAATAATTAGCTTGAAGCTCATGAAAGTTCTGTCTGTCATTGCCATCATTAGTTTGAGCCCAGGCCATCTCAGCTTGTTTCAACTTGTGTTCATATTCTTTGGCTTTCAGAAAGATATCTCCATATTGCTGTCTTGACCATTTGTTTAAGGCATTGGACAAAGCTTTAAGATTTTGGTGAATAATCCACATGGCATTGCCATTGCCTTCCTTGTTCCAGACCTCCTGAACTAGAGGAAGGAAGTTCATATTTGCAACCTAACAATTGAGACACTTGAAGTATCCTTTGCTTGTGTCCTGTCTCACATTTATTTCCAAGAGAAGAGGATTATGATCAGATCCTGCAGAGGGGAGGTGAGTGATAGGTGTCGTAGGATATGATATTAGCCAATTATCATTGACCAATCCCCTATCCAGTCTTTTGCCACACAATAAAGCCTTGGCTTCTCCTATTTGACCAAGTGTATCTAGGACCATAGAAGCCTAGATCCACAAATCCACAATCTTCAATCATGCTCAAGAAATCCATGCTTCTACTCATTTGGTAGGGAAGACCCCCAATCTTTTATTCAACATATGTAATCACATTGAAGTCTTCAATGACACACCAGGGAATTGAACATATCATAGACTTTTGTCAGGGTTTTCCAAAGAGGTCTTCTCAAAGTTATTTTGCATTTGGCATAGATCACAGTGATTTGGAAAGGTTCTGCAGCTTCAGTATGCTACAATGCAATGGTCAACTGGTGCTCATCATGATCAATGACTGTGCCTGTGAAATCCTGATCCCAGAAAACCAGATTTTATCATTAACATTGGAGGTAGAGTGTTGCATGGATAGTTGAATTCTATAATGGTTGATGTGGGTACTATCAAGGAAAGGTTCAAGGAGTGCAATGAAGGAAAGTTTATGGAGTTGGTTCAAGGTTTTGAGTCTCTCAATGGCACTAGCAGTTCTGATGCCTCTTACATTCCATATGATTGTACTAATCATGGACACTTTTTGGGAGTGGTTGACTTTGGTGGTGCTTTAATACTGGAAGCCTTACTTCTGGTGAGGTAGTGGGGGTTTATTTCTAGGTGACAGTCCATGCGATTCAATCATTTTGTCAACATCTATGGCACCATTGATAGCAGTAAGAAGCGAATTACATGTATCATCTTCTTCCAAATCTACATTGTGTTCATCATCTGCCTCATCTCTAATGTCAACCTCATCTTCTGATTGCATATGATTGTATTCATCTTCTCCAAGCCCATTAGAGATATCATGTACTTGGGAAGAGACATGTTCCCTAGAATTTGTATGGATAGCCATAGTTACAGTTGCATTTGGTACTGCTTCAGACCTATTTTCAGAATCCTCCACCCTTTATGCAATATTAAATACGTTGCTCTTGGGAGTATCTATAGGAATTACATTAGTTCTTTGGTGAGCTAGGAGCTCAGAATTGGTTTCAAGATTCTGTGATCCATCAATACTTGTAGAACTGAGAAGTTTTTGTGCACTTTTTTGTTTCCTGATCTGCCTCCTCTTTTCCTGACTAGGGTTATTTTTTGGTTTTGTTTTTGTAATCTCTAAAGTAGCAATAGTATTTCCTTCATCAACCTTGCTTCTATGATCTCCATGAGTAGAAATAGAAATTACACATGTTTCTGCTTGTATTTCTGATGTCTCTTGAATGCTTGGATATTGAAAAGTGGTAGTGGGGGGAG